TTGCTCATGGAAAAAATAAACGTTTAACAAAGGATAAGAACAGACACCAAATTACTAGACCAGAAAAACAATAGCCCCTTAGTTGGCATGAGACCTCATAGACATCTGAAGTGTGTATACGTGTTATGATGGGGGACCGCTAATGTGGACGGCTTTTGATGCCAATAACAACAACCAAGATTATATTATTACTGTGAAAACCCTGTAACAAAACCACACAGCCTTGGAGTTCACAGGGTGCGGCCCTGTGTGAAGACTTCCACTGACAGGAAGACAGGTCACTGCTGTAGGAGACACTGGACATAGCGGTGTTCTTCAGGACAGACGCCTGCTGATAAGCAGCATGGTTGAGTGTGACCAGGGCAAGTGAGATGCTGCAGCCACCAACAGTCTCTGCTCTGGTGGGGCCTGACTTTCTCAGAGTTGAGTTTCCCTCTGGATGAATCCTGGATGTCTTGACCTCTTAGCTTTTCCACAGTCCTCATAAGAAACTTTCTTTTCTTTTCTTTCCTTTGTCAAGGGAGTTGAAGAAAATCATCGAAGGTTAAAATGAAGGGTGGAAAACCCAACTAATTCATTGCAACAGAGTCCCGAAAGGAGGTAACACTTTTGTAGTCAGATAACCCTGACTACAAAATTAGAGATTTTTTTTTTCTTTGATGCATTTATAATCAGTACCAGTGGACACAGCTGAGAGCTGCCTGAAGGGGGTCTTGACAGCAGATGTTAAGTGGCATGGTGTCAAAACCTCCATTTCTCCCTCTAGATCAGGCATGGAGAAAATGTAGCAATAAACCTTTACTTGTTTTGGAAAGCAGTCCTGAAACACTTAGGCTACCTTGTAAGTATAAAAAACTAGTCACTGGGCTAGCCCAACCTTGACATAGGAAAAGCACACACTGGGTTAGAGTTGTCAACATCAGCCATGCCGCTGCCTAGCCAACCATGTGGACCACTCACTTCCTCTATATGCTTTTTGGTTTCCTCATCTATAAAATGGGAAACTTACAAGAGTTTACTACTCATTCACTCATCTCTAGAAGTTCATGATCCTTTAAATGCACTGGTGGACCATGCAGCTTTGGTGGAGGAAGAATGGGGATGGGAAAGCAGTGGCCATTGAAGCCTTGGGAACGGCATAAGAGCTAAGACCCCAGTGTAGCCTCCGTTGTTACTGGGGCATGGTGTGGATTGTCCAATGGCAGAGAAGTGGCTGGGGATGAGGGCAGCCTGCAGCTCATGCTGACCCTGCCATCAAATGACATCTGACCCAGCCCAGAGAACGGAAACACTTCTCTTGTTTCCAAAGACCAACAGATTCGCTATAGAGAGTTAGGAGGTAAACTGGAAGGCAGACTGAGTGCCAAGTCAAGCTTCTCAATAAAGAGGCGGTCCTCTGGAGCTGGCGCTGCAGCAGGATGCAGTTCAGAGGATGAACCAGGTCCCCCTTACATTTTAAAAACTGGAAAGTGGAGTGAATGAAGGGTCCGTTAAACATTGGACCCTGTCTAGCATTCTGGTTTGTGCAAAAGCCCTCTGCCTTTTTATCAGCCCATGGACTGCTAAACATAAAGGCATATATTAATAGTAAGTGCAATATATTTTTGAAAATTGGACAAAAGTGCAAGAAGGTAGAAAGCACTAATAAGTCAGCTCTGGAACTGGCCTTAGGCATGTCTGCCTGATCTGTTCAGTTTGATAACACATTTCAAAACACTCATCTGTCAAAAGAAAATTCCTGGGCCCCTTTGTTTGAATATCTGGTATACCTTTCTGTGGATGGCTGAGGCTGTGTGGGTCTCCATGAGCAGGTGGTGAGGCTAACTCCCCAGCACCTGGAGGCTATGCTCCAGAAGGCGATCTGCTGTCAGCAGGGTGGGCTGAGCCAGCAGTAAAGTCAGAGCTGGAACCAAGGCACCAGTTCAATACCTGTGTGTTTCTGTTCACAAAATGTAGCTCTGTTTAATGTACAAAGAGAAGGATGCAGTTGTTCCCAAATGAAAGGCCGTAATAAGACAAGCCAAGGTACTGGGCTTGTCTACTGGGTGAACAGGGCCATAAATACATGGTTTCTACTAACTGAAATGGCAGGTGTGCTGTTAACCTCTCCTACACCGTTCAGAATGCAGCTCTTACCTCTCCCCGCAATCCACTCTGCCCCCTCCTAGCCTCGCCCGTAGATGTCTATTAATGCCACTAAACTAGGACATTTGAATTTGGGGAAATGGTTGGCCTTTTTCCTCAAAAGGGTCTTCAGGGTCCTATAAAACAGTGTCTCAGTAAGTGAGACTAAAATCCAATCCCATCAGAATGATTAGATTCCATCCTGCAAAGTACTTCACTGAGCGTCAGTCCTGGGAGTTTTTAGATGTAATTTTTGTGGCTGAGAAATGCCATTTTTTTGTTAAGTGGTTGCAGCAAAAAGAAAGGCAATGTTAGTGGCAGCCAGCATTTTTAAATGAACCATGGTGGCCCATCACATTTTATAAGTAATCATAAATTTCAGCTGACAGCTTATTTCTTGATTCCTTTCTAATTAGAGACTTAATAATATATATTTCTTGAAGGGGAAAGTGGTCTGGGCTCTTAGGATGCCAGAAGCTTTGCTAAAATAAAACAACTAGGGCCAATGTCAAATGTAGAATGGATTCAGTGCGTAAGACAGTGCCACGAGAGGTCTTGGACATCAGGCTACGAAATTTAGGAGAAATCAGAGCATGTTTTAATACTTTTAAATAATTGTGTCCAAATAGCCTTTCTCCCTCCTTAAACAGCTAAATCTTTTTAATGCCTCTCAAAAAGGGTTCCAAATGGATTTAAATGGGTTTGATGAATGTGAAATTTCTCTCTCTTCTTGTAATATTTCCAGAAATAGTGCAATTAATTTGATTTGTGCATAGGTACAAATCATTAGTAAATTGGGTGCTTGTGTTTTAAGAGGATTCAGTCTTATTAACCCTTTCACATCAATGAGTTTTGGTTAAAAGAAGCCATCCTATACACTTTGGAGTCATCAGTCCCCAGTATTAAATTTTTCTGTTGTTTTCAGATTATGAAAAGGCCTTCAAAAAGTTCATGGAAAATATGTATTATTTAAAAAAAAATATGCATGGCTTTAAGCATTTTTTTTGCACCAAGATAGACTCATACTTTAATTCCATTTTTTATGAACTTCTTGAAGTACCCTTGTACATCAGAAGAAGCTGCACTTAGTACACTAATAAACAGTCATTTCCTTTGTAATAAGGACTTTTTGCGTGTGCTCATCACAAGAGTTTCTCATGCTGTTAACACTTCTTTAGGTCAAAAGGTTGCAGGTTCTCTCATTTATTTTTCTTTTTTTATTTACTGGAGCCAGTTCAGAGTGAGTGTGCATCAATGACTTAATTACTTTCAGAAAAAAAAAAAATGTCAAGATCCAACTATTCTTCAGATAATCGATAATCTTATGATTTTGTCCAAATGGACCCTAGACACTATTCGCTAGATGCCTAGATTTGAGGCTTCCTTAGGATTAGAAGGTTCTTCCTGAGAAGTTTGAAGGTTTTTTTTTTTTTTTGAGAAATGTTTACCACTGGGAAATGGTGAGAGAGTTCAGGTAGTTTCATGTGGCCAGAATTTTTAAAGCAGAGTAAAAGAGGAGAAAGAGCAAGGGAAACAGAGAGAGAGAAAGAGAGACCGAGAAATCTTACAGGAGGCATTTTCTACATTCCAAAAACCCAGAACTTTGTTGTATGTGCAGTGCATTCAGTAGAGACTTCAGCAGGGTGAGGCGTTATTATGATATTGGGTCGTCAAAAAAGTCATGACATAGTTTTCTGCATTTTTCTATGCAAAAATGTGTTTGATTGTTTTAATGACCCAATAATATGGCTAAACTAACACCCAATAAAGGGTACTCTGGGCTGATCCTAATATAGCTTGAAAATAAGCTTCCAAAAGATAAAAATAATTTGCATGTAAGTTAACTATATGCCAGAACAAGGAACAAGACTCTGTATAAAGGTCACAAAACTTGGGCATTCAATATCACAACCGTAATGTGTGGCATATAATAAAAATGACTAGACAGTTGAAGAAGAAGAAAAATATAACTCATAATGTGGAGAAACGTCAGTCAATAGAAACAGGTACATGAATAATAGAAACATAATTAGAGGATAAGGGATCTAAAATACTGTTATAAATATAGTCAAGAATTTAAAAAGAACTCAAGAACATAATGGAGATAGAATTAAAACAATAAAAATGCATAACACCAAAAAAAAGAGAAGTACAATATCTGAAATGAGAAACTCACTGGATAATATTAACAATAGATTAGACACTGAAGAAGAAAAGATCAATAACTTGATGGCAAATAATAGAAAATATCAAAAAAGAAAAAGAAAAAAACACAGAGGGGAGAATAAAGGCTAGAAAAATGAGTGGATCTGTGAGATAGTACTACCATCCTATAATAAATATATTTGAAGTACCAGGAAGAAAGGAGAGAAAAGGGGGAATAAAATAACTTTTAAAAAGTACAAAATTTGAGTGTAATGAAAATTATAAACTCATTGATTCAAGAAACTCAACAAACTCAAGGAGGGTAAGTACCAAGTTTCATGATAATCATGTTGCTGTAAATCAGTAATAGAACTTTCCAATTTGTTAGGAAAAAAATTATGTGACGAGAAACAAGATATGATTGGTGCCAATTCTATTTAGAGACTATATAAGCCACAAGTCAAAACATTTTTTTTAAAAGTTGGGGGGAAAGAAAAAAAAAACAATGTAAAATTGTATCTCCCCTAAAAATAACCTTAAAAATAAAAATAAAATCTTTTTTTAAAAGTTGGGGGGAAAGAAAATAAAAAAAACAATGTAAACTTGTATATCCTCTAAAAATAACCTTAAAAATAAAAATAAAATAAAGATATTTAAGACAAAAGTTGGAAGAATTTCTCATCGGCAGGTCTGTGCTACAAGAAATATTAAAGGAAGTTCTTTAAGATAAAGAAAAATGATATGGGGACAAGCAGATGGTGTAACGGTTACGTTCTTGAACACCATGTAGTCAACCACAGTTCAAGTCCCAGACCCAGCGGCTTAAAACACATGCTAGGCGCATGGGTCTGAGTGCCCACAATCCTGAGAGGAGAATGGAGGAAAAGGGATTGCGGCATGGCCATCCTTCCTGGGGGGTGATGTCTTGCTTTCTGTCTCTCTGGTGAGTGCACACACTCTATAACAAAAAATCTCTTTCTAAAAAAAGAAAGGAAAATGCTAATAGATGGAAATTTGAATTCACAGAAAGGAATGAAGACTGCCCAAAATGGCCAGCGCAGGAGTACATATTGGATCAGCTGCAGTGAAACAGTGGCAGTGCAAGGCTCTGTGAAGCTGGAAGCCATATGGCAGATGGGGACCATGGTTCCTGGGGTGACCTCTACACTAGATGTGCACATGTTCCCCTTGATCTGGCTGGTGGAGAGGGGCTGTGAGAGATGGGAGATCCTGTTGAGTGTGCTTCTTTCTCTCTCTCATGAAACAAATAAAATAAAAAATTATATAGTATTTTATTATTTATATTGTATAGATTTATATGTGTAATGTATATTTATTTGTATTTATATAAAACATATAAAATATATTTATTACAAAGATAATTGATGATCTAAAGCCTGAGTAATAGCAATGTATTATGAGAAGTCTAAAATATGTAAATATATATCACAAGAGGACAGAAATTGGGAAGTGGGGAGTGGCAGTATACTGTAGTACATAGGGTTCTTATCATTTTATCATAGCATTATTTTATGATACATATGTGTGTGTGTATACATACATATGTATATTATATATCTTTTTTTTTTCTTTTGGTTTGCAATAGGGTGCATGCACTCACAGGAGAGAGACAGAGTCAGAGAAAGTGAGAAAGCATCCCATGAAGGAGAGGGTCAGGCTGCACTTCCTTCTCTATTTTCCTCTCTGGATTTTGGGCAGGCATGTACACGCATGGACCTCGTGTGTTTTTCAAGCAGCCAGGTCTGGGACTCAAACTGCACAAGTGGCCATGAGGGATCCAGCTCTCTTGACCAGAATGCTACTGACTGCCCCCCGAAGTATAGTATTTTAAGGTAGACTATACTAAGATAAAATTTCATATTTTGAATTTTGACCAAATGGTAAGGGAGGAAGCAAAGAGATAAAGTTAAAAACAAATAAATCAATAACAAACACCCAAGTAAATGCAAAACCACCAAGAATTATCCTCCCAGGGAAATGTCCAGCAAAGAGACGTTTTGCTGGATATAACCGTCCACTGATTTATCTGGAATATGTGTGCATACTTATCTTTTCCTTCTTAAACTCATTCTACAAATATTTCTAGATGCCTATTCATTGCTGTAGTAGGTGAACCAAGGAGGGTTAGCGCTCATTGATGATCTTGGGCAGCTCTCTTTGACTTTCCCAGAAAACAATGAAGGTTTCATGCACTTTGTTTCAACAAAGACTGGCAAAAGAAGATTTCTGAAAAGAAACAACAAAACAAAGCAACATCCCATTATACTTCAGCTTGCAGCAGGACCTAAGTATTTCTTTCCTGAACATTAATCCCTGCAGCGGGTAAGAGAGAGATTGGAAGCTCTTCATAGAAATTGATCATGTTTTCCTCATGCTTATCTCCTGACCATTGTGCGCACGTTAGGAAGGCCTAACAGAGGTCGCAGGAAGAGGCTGCAGTCCTTCACTACACGACACAGGTAGACTCACTTCAGAGGTCCCTCTTCATTCTCCCCACCTCTGTTTTGTGATGGGGTCTAGGGCAGTCAGGGTGCTCACCGTGTGGTGGTCTTACTTGAGGCATTTAGACTCCCTTTTTAAAGACTGAATGTTGGTGTTCTCCCCAAATCCATTTATTGACGCTCTGACTCCCAGCATGGTTGTCTTTGGGGATGGGGCCACGAAAGAAATAATTAGCGCTAAATGAGGTCATCAGGTGGAATTCTGATGTCACTATAAGAAGAGATCCCAGAGAACTTGCTCTCTCTCGCTCTGCAAACACACCAAAAAAAGGCCATGAGAGAACACAGAAGGCAGGCCGCCTTCTGTACCCAAGGCAAGGGCCCTCACCAGAGGTCATGCAACCAGTACCTTGATCTTGAACTTTTGGCTCCCAGAACTGTGAGAAAATGAGTATCTGTCGTTTAAGCCACGCAGTCTGTGATACTGTGTTATAGTGTCCTAAGTTACTTCATATATCTCATTCACTGTACATCAATACGGTATACAAAATGAACTTTTCCATCCAGAATACATTGTGTCTTGGTTCAATCAAGGATATTACATACATGTTGTCATCAACAAATAATTTTCTCTTTCTTGATTCTTATATATTTGGCATATTTTTCTTTTCCTTTTTTCCCCCATCGAGTCCCTACCTCTCACCCTATGCCAGTCCCCTCATCCCTAGAAGCAGGATATTTTGAAACCATTAGTCGTAATGTATTGGGTTGTCTGAAAAGTCATGATGCATTTTTGCAGAACAAAACAGAAAAAATATGTCAGGACTTTTCTGATAACCCAATAGTATGTATGTTGTTCCCAATTTTTGATGAGTCTCTTATAATTCGTTTTCAAATTTTTAAGTAATATTTAATAATTGTACTTACTTGTGGGGGGGTTGATGTGATTTTTCAGGACATGAACACAAGGCGTAATGGCTGAAACGGGACAGTAGCACACTTGGTGTTGAGCCATTTGTCCCTATCTTGTGGGGTTACGTATCTGTTGGTCCTGAAGAACCCCATGGCACCATCAGCTAGACTGGTGTTTCGGTTGTCTTCCTCCCCTGTGAGTCTGGGCCTAAATGAAGGGTTTGCAAGAGCCTGTCCAACCCAGAGAAAGCCCAGTTCCCAGTGACCCTGTCATCCTCGTTATTCCTTTCAATTACTTTTTATTTTTTCAGCTTCAGTGAATATTGTTTCAATGTTATCATTCTGCTTTTGTTGCATTTGTAACAGTGCTCCAAGCTCAAAACCCTTGTGCCAACTTTTCTTGTCTGTGAGCTAAATGGACTCTCACTGCCATTCCAGCCAGCTCTCGTTTTGTTTACTAAATCCAGACAAAAGGCACTGTCTGGGGCGATCTGCTGAGTTCCTTAGGCATAAGGGCAGGGGAGCAGCGAGCTGGGATCAGACGGCTGAGGATACCTCTGCTAACCAAGCTGGGTCTCCTTTACTGAATAGCATCACATCATCATAAACTTAAACCCTTTCTACTTTTCTCATTTAAATTAATAACTCAAATCAGCATAGATTTTTTAAAATTTCTAGTTACTTTGACTACTTAAAACATGTACATTTTAAATGTGCTAAGTTATTTGCGTTTCCTTACCCTTGTTCTCTCTAGGGATATATATATTCTTTTTCTGGTGTATGAAGCTGAAAACTTGCAAAAGGATTTTATAGTCTTCAGTTTTGCATCTCTTCTGGTTAGTTACCTTTATGATAGTGATTAAGGTCCAAGAAAAGAAAAGAAAAGAAAAGAGAGAGAGAGAGACAGAGAAAGGGAGAAAAGGAGGAAGGAAGAAAGAAAGAAGAAAGAGAAATGTTAGGTTGTTAGAAGGATCATGACATATTTTGCTATGCTTTTCCATGCAAAGATGTGCCATGATTTTTTCAGCAACCCAAAGGAAAAGGTTCTGACCATTCTTTCTATCTACTATGTTCAAAAAGAAACATTACCCCTCTAACATTCCGTTCTTAGAATACCATTTGACATATAGTAAGTGTTTAATAAAAACCATGGCCTAAGGAATGAAAAAATTATGAAATCAATTGTCGTAACTCTTTTTTTTTTTTTTTTTGGAGAGGTTTTTGCTATAGGGCATGTGCGCTCGCCAGACAGACAGAGACAGAGAGAAAGAAACCCCGCCGCCCCCCCCCCAGGGGGGATGGCCACGCCACAATCCCTTCTCCTCCGTTCTCCTCTTGGGATCTTGGGCATAACACACATGTGCCTGACATGAGTTTTAAGCCACCAGGTCTGGGACGCGAACCGTGGTCAACTACGTAGGAGTCCAGCGACATAGCCATTACGCTAACTGCTGTTCCCGATAGTCGTAACTCTTTGAAGGTGTTTGAAAGTGATGATTCTAAACTGTACTGTCCTTTTTATAAGTCTTTAACATTCATAAGTTAAGAAATATTTAAATATTTAAAATACTTTCTCTTAATTTTTCTGCATTGTGAAAGGTGGATATTTATGCCAATTGTGTAACTTAAGCTCCATGAAAGCAAAAAGTGTGGATAGTCACCCCTGACACCTCCCAAGTTCTCTTGGTCATCGCTGGTGCCTGCTCACCACCACACCAGTGTGAACTTACATCCCATTCGCCATCATCTGCACGATGCTGGCTTTTCCTCACACCTCAGAACTTTCAAGAACACAGGAGAACCAGCTTCCTCTAGAAGACTACTTTAATTACTAATGCCTGATAGGCAGTATTAAACCAATTTCACTTTGAACCATCTGCTTGTACAATGTGAAGCTATTAGTCACCCCAAACACACACACACACACACACACACACACACACACATTCTATGTATCCAATTTCTTGCCCCTAAATTCCTTCCCTGGCAGCAGTCAGTGCTGGGAGACGGAGTTAACATGTTGAAGTAGGATTTCCATCTTTGGCTTTCTGTAAACCAGGTCAGGGTTTGGGTTTTGTCCATGCTGGGACCTCAGATGAGGGAGCCCATCATACTGCCCGTTGAAAACTGCGTCATGGCAACCTTTCAGCAGTCTGGGCAGGCGCTGGTTTCTCGTGAAATGCACACGCCTGAGTCTCCTTCAAAATTGCCAAGGACACTTCCTATTCTAAAAGAACCTGTCATGGTGGACGCGCTACAGGCAAGAGCATGGGTTAAAGCCATTTCTTTGGATTACCCAGACAGTAAAGAAATAAAACAAAGGCAGCGTATTAGTTTGTAGGGACTCAGCTTTATGCCATGGCTCACAGTCCAGAAAGCGTGTCCTCAGAGATAGCAAGGTGTCATGTTGCCCCAGCTCTGTTGATACTCCAAAGCGTCACCCACATCAGCAGTCAGGAGTCAGACTGCCGTTCGAGAAAATCAGCCGTGCAGGAAGTGGATCCTGTGAACCCTCTGTATGGGTCTTTCACACAGAAGTGTGGACCTCTGTTGTGTGTTTTCTGGCATTGGCAGGCCCAGGATAGAACAAATGGCTTTACTTTAGTTTCTCCCTCTTTCCCATTTTGAACTCCAAAGTTTGGGTCCACATTACATTATTTTTCAGGGGAAAAAAAAAAAAGATAAAAAGAAAAACCTGTGAAAACCTGCAAGGAGACTGAGAGGCATGAAGCATGTTAAGCAAGAGAGAAGTCTTTTGAGTTGAGCTGGCAAAAGCCACTGTGTTTGCTGTAGGGGAGCAGATTAAAGCCGTCTAAACACTTCATTTCCCTACGGGGCCTGCCTGTATGAGAACAATTCAAGGTCCACTGCACCCAGCGATGGAACTTTCCCTCCTCCCAGCCTACCTCCTGTGGTCTTTATCAAATTTAAATGACCTGTGCCCACCAGGACGGAGATATACAGTTGTGCGTGTTGGGTAGGTATATCAGCTCTTAGATGCTGGTAAACTTTTTACTCATGAAGCTATAAAGAGATAGCTCAGGAAACAAATTATTTTTTAATACTATCAGAGAGATTTCTAGTAGACTCCATAGGGTCTCCAGCTTTGGGGTTTTGACATGCTTTTGAGCTTAGAGCCCTGAGAACTTCTAAATTCCTCCTTCCAGCTACAGCTGTGATGGAATGACCCACGTAATCAATTGCCCCGTCAGGGAGGCAGTGGGCTGCGTTGCAGTGTTTGGCGTGGCAGAGATGGCTGTCCGCCAGCACCTCAGAGCACCTCCCTCAGGGCCTGATAGAGGCAACGTGGTCTAATATGAAGGCCCAGCTCCCTGCACCCTAGGACTGAAATCTTCCTGAGATCATTTGCTCAGTTCTTTGGACTGAGACTCTTCGAAATTTCAATATGCCCAAAGAATTTGTGGCTGGAGAGGACAAGAGTCTTTTCCTCCTCACTCTCACCTTTTCCCTCCCTTTTTTCCCTCTTTATTGGGGTCTAAGAGAAAGAATACACATAGCAAAAGGCCCTTGTCCTGGCTGGAAAGGGTGTTTAAAGCCCATTCGGCGTTTGGGTGAAGGTGAAAGTTGTCAGGCTGTGAAAAATGGCATCAGCGTTGGCTGACCTGAAATAGGGCCGTAAAGTTCTATTCCTCACAAAGGCAAGATATATTATTGCTGTAACGCCATTATTCCGCTCCATCACTTTTAAACCTTGTCCCCATTATCTGCAAGTTAAATATAACCCTATGTAAAAACAGGAAGGACAGCGCTAAGTTGTCCAGCTTAACAGCACACACTTAAAACATAATAGAGCACTTGTTACTGTATTTTATGGAACGGAAACTCCAAATGTAAAGATGTATTAAGGAAATATCTCAAAGTTATTAGGGAAGGATATTTACAATTACAGATTGCTTTATATTATGCTTTTATGAACATCTCAGGAAATGAAATAGCCCTCAGCTGTAGAGAGTGAAGAGGGAGGTAATTTTCCTTAATACGGGTGATAAAATTAATCTGATTGAAATCGCTAGCGATTATTTCGTAGAATACTGAGTGGCAGTACAATCACTTACACTCTTTTATATTTTTTTAGTCAAAGCTCGTGTAGATGAAAGCTAATTACAAAGTAGTGATGTGAAGCGCTGAGGAAATAGTTTGTATAGCACAGAACAGGCACGGCTAATTGGGGTTTGTGATTACACAGATTGTTGTTAAGGAGAATTAACTACCAGCAGTCTCTCCTGCAAAGCTTCTCATCAAGGCAAAGTAAAAATAGACACTGGATCTGTTAT